TTTGGCACTTGAATTCCAATTAAACAATTTTTATCATAAAATCATATGTAATTATGCACCTACATTGTGTTTTTGGTTGATTTGTGGGTTGCATGTATATAATTCCATACCTATATACAGTGGCATAACTAGACACTTATTTCTAGGTATAGATATAGACCCGATATTTTTATGTTAGGGTTACCAATGAATATTTTTCTGAAATCAAAAAATTACCAGAATACCATATGACGTTATACATTTATTATAGATATATTAAATGGATTTATTTTAAATTCTAAAAGCTAATAGATAGAATAAAAAAAAAAAAATAGCTTTTCTAAAACATTTTTTTTTTTTTAATTTAATTTTCCAATTTTCTTTTTACTAACCCGAAATTACAGCAGATAGATTTTCTAAGAATTTTCCACTTATTATCCTCTATAATTTAGAGTGCAACTTGTCATTATTTATCTTAAATTCGCTTTTACTCTTTTCATCATCGAACAACCAAAACATTTTAAATTATTTTTGTTAATTATTCAAATCCGACTTTACCTTTTTTTTACTTCACTTTTTTTGTATAATAGAAAATACTAGATACAGATAAAAATAAGGTGTTATCAAGTTGATATTGATATTTTAATTTGGTAATAAATTCATTTGATAAATAAGATTTCACCATAACAACAATTTAGTGTCTAAAAATATTAATAGGTTTGGTGTGACTAAAAACCGTTTCATTTTTTCGAAAACAACCAACACGGTAGACTTTATAAAAATAAGAGCAAAATCATACAAATAGACACTACTTGTGATAAAGGCACACGCAGTGGGATTAGTTATAAATTAATCGACAATCTCAAGCGTATCTATATGATTACAACTTTTATTACAGTCTCGTTATTTTTATAAATTATTCGAATAATTGTCCATTGCATAGTTAAGATTAAAACCTGTTATATTAATGGTGAATAGTCAAGAATATTCAGACAACGGGCAATACGGACTACGCATTTCGTTGAATGCCGATCAACAAGGACTGATTGGTTATCAAGCCACAATACTCAAAATAAAAACATATAATCAACCGATTCGCAGAACCGACTAAAAAGCATCGAGATTTAGCTTCGTTAGTTTAAATCTTATTTATAATAGATTAATTCTATTATTTTAAATACATATTATTTTCATATAGACTACACTTGGTAAAAAATATATTTATTTATTTTTCATGAAAATTGGGTAGGCCCAAGTCTACCAAGACTATCTACTAGTTTTACTACTGCAGTTAAACAGAAGTTCCTCAAAATTAATTTATCGTTTTATTTCAATAATTTCAAAATTGTATTCGTTTGTTATAATTCAATATAATATAATATTATTAACAGTGTCAAAAACCAATACCATTTATATATTTAGATTTAATTAACTGTTAAGGTATTAATTCATTATACTTACTCGTACTTTCAATGATTCGCGAATTCAGAACAAGTATCACACAAAGTTTAAACATTTAGCAACAGTAAACTATTCACAAATCACAATTTATTATTTATGAGCTATATAGACACAATATGCATTAATGGATTGCTAACGTCAGAATGAAAATTTTTCATACAAATCAGATACACAGGTTTTAATGTACAAAATTAAAAAGGGGCTTTTTTCAATTCAAATAAAAAATAATGTTAGTAATATAATATATTATATTATATATCTAGGTTAATAGCAATTTCAAAAAAATCAATGTAAATTATGATTTTGGAAATCAATGAATGGTATATAGTTAAAGCATAAACATTTTATTAGTAGTTATGATATATTATGATACTAAAAAAACCCCTTCACTGACCCTGAGCTTTGTTTAAAAATTAATTAAAAACATTATAAAGACAATGCGCCATATTAATTATTATTCTGTAACAATAAACCATCTGTTTATTGGAAAAAAAAAACCATTTATAATTATATTTCATACCTTCATCATGCTTATAATATGGAGATTATTATCACAATAAAGTTATCACGATAAAGTTGCGTTAATTTTTAAAAAACCATAATAATACTGTGTCATCATAAAACGTCATGTTTTGTTGGGTGGTGGAGCTATTGTCGATACGAAAGAAAAATAACGCCAATGGGCATGGTTATAATGTATTAATGTTGTCAAATTTGCCAGCTGAGTTGTTTTTGTCGTGGTAAGTAGTGGTGGAAGGGGTTTGTTTAGGGTGTGAAGGAAGAAGAATGGTTTTGCACGTCAACGATACCCACGAGATGAGCGTAAAACGCACGACCGCAACCGTGTTAATGAAACGTGACCGAACAACAACGGCCGATGACGGTTATGTAAGTGATGGCGGTAGTGGAGGTGGATGTTATCGTAGAGGTGAGGTGGTTATGATGGGTCAGATGAGGTGGAGGGAAAAGTGATGCATCCCGGCCACGGCACGGTGACCCCGTCCAGTATTTGTCATCATTATTGTAGTTTCCGGTAAACGAATTTAAGGCCCCCGTCCTCGTATAGGAGTCACAAATCTATTCGGGAGCAAATTGATTTCACGGGTTGACGGTATATATTATGATATTCCCTATAGGGATCGCCTGCAGTCCACGGGTATACTTGGATCCCATCCCCATCTACCCACTTTGCACGCCACTCGCCGATGATTGATCCCAGAGGCTACGCGATATGGTTTGTCCAGTACGGAATCCAACTGATTCATATATATTTTTTTTTTTGTTTCCCGAATTGTCAAGTTGTAATTCTGACACCTCGGAGACGATAGTGCTCCATTAGAGTTGCCAACTGCTCTAGTTCCAAGAATAACCCAAGTAAATAATGAAAATACTAGGTGATTCTCCTAACATCATCACGCCTTATTTCTTTTTCAATAATGCAGTTATTCAAAATCTCACATTTGGAATTTTTAAATATACTTAAGGTCCATATTTTTAATTTATTTAATTTGTTTGTTATACTTAAGAAGTATCTTGTGGGCTTATATGCTTACGTTTTTCAAATAAGGACACCCCGTTTCAATTGTAAATTATACAGTGAATAATTGTTCTAAAAAATTTTACGTTAAACAATCATAATTATTTAAGTAGTTTTTATGTTCTCTAACTTTGTGTTCTATGGATAAATGCTAAATCGTTATGGGCATATTTTAAATAGGAACTACTGCGATTTGAACATTTTATTCGTTAATATTAATGATCTCTATTTTGTATTTTCATAAAACCATTTTTAAAGATTATTACTATTCTTCGTCATGGGCGCCYATAGGTAAAATTTTAAGGAGCGTCAAAATAAAACCTTATTTTCACATATGAATGTAAATATGCATGTTATATTTGTATTTTCATATATATATATATATATATAGGTATAGTTGATTCATATTGTTT